GTATATTGCCGTCACCTCATTCCGTCCGTTCGTTCGTCCACAATTACTCGTAAACACTCTACAAGGCACAATTCTTGACTGATTTCGATGAAACTTGATATGGTTGTTTGTAATCACCCAAGGATAAACCCTATCGAAAATCAGAAAAATTGGAAAATATTTACTATGAGTTATTGCCCTTGTTCTTGAAATGTCGTAAACACTCTGGAAGGTGCAATTCATGACGGATTTGGATGAAACTTGGTGTGAGTGTTCTTTATCGCCCGAAGATAAACCCTATCGAAAATCAGAAAAATTGAAAAATATTTAGTATGAGTTATTGCCCTTGTTCTTGAAAACGCGTTCAATTTTAGCTTGTAAACACTCTAGAAGGCATAATTCTCGATGGATTTTGACGAAACTTGGTGTGAGTGTTTGTAATCACCCAAGGATAAACCCTATCGAAAATCAGAAAAATTGAAAAATATTGAGTATAAGTTATTGCCCATGTTCTTGAAAACGCGTTCAATTTTTAGATTGTAAACACTCTAGAAGGCACAATTCTTGACGGATTGTGACGAAACTTTGCATGAGTGTTGGTTAAACCATATTGAAAAACAGAAAAATTGAAAAATATTTAGTATGAGTTATTGCCCTTGTTCTTGAAAACGCGTTAAAATTTTATCTTGTAAACACTCTAGAAGGGACAATTCTTGACGGATTTTGACCAAACTTGGCATGAGTGTTTGTTATCACCCAAGGATAAAACCTATTGAAAATCAGAAAAATCGAAAAATATTTAGTATGAGTTATTGCCCTTGCTATTGAAAACGCGTTCAATTTGTAGCACGTAATCACTTTGATGAAACTTGGTGTGAATGTTCGTAATCACCCAAGGATGAACCCTATTGAAAATCAGAAGAATTGAAAAATATTTAGTATGAGTTATTGCCCTTGTTCTTGAAATCGCTTTCAAATTTAGCTCTTTAAAACTAAAAGGCATGATTCTTTCTGGATTTTGACAAAACTTGGTTTTATTATTCAGTCCTGCAGATTGAATATTTGCCTTCTTGAGTTTTCACGAGCTAAAGATAAAACACGTTTTCAAGAACTAGGGCAATAACTCATACTCAATATTATTCAGTGTTGTGCTAAAGAGTTCAAAAGAAGTGTATGACTCAAGGTTGAATATTTCATACTGGTGATTGTTACTGTATTGCTAAATATTTATGTTCAAAATCAAAGCTGTCATTGGGCTTATATTACCTTGCCTGGCAAGCTATCTTTTAATATTTTTATGAGAATTGGAATAGCAGTCTAAAATAGTACTGATAGTC